ATGATGTAAATTTAATTAATAACTAGCAAATTTTAATCGAATCCAAGTTACGTTCGTTAAAAAATAATTAAATTATAAATATAATACAATTATTATTGATTATATATTCTGCATAAACATTTATTTTTCATTATTTTAAACCATATTACTGATTATTTATATAAAAAAAAATAATAATAACATTACCTTGATTGCTTTATATCAACTTTACTAAGGCAACTCATTTAAAAGTAAACATTAATTTGTCCAGCTCTTCAGACATCTTCAAGTCCAAAAGTAATTTTGGTTAAAAATTATTTTAAAAATAAAATATATATTACAGTTTTAAATAAATTCAAAATTTGAGTGTTGAAACTAAAAGGTAAGTAGGTAGATGTTATAATAAACAGAAGCCTTAGCAATACAATTTAGGGAACAATTGATAAAAGAATTGTTTTTGAATTTATGAAACTAATAACTTTGACGATGGCCTGTAGGCTGTAAATTAAGTTTACTCACCTGTTCATGCAATCTAACCTAACAGTCCTGGTGTAGGAAAGTAGACACGTTTTAAATAGTACGGCCTAATGTACTTGAACGAATTAATAATTTAAGTACGATATTTTTATATTGAATGCATATAGTAAAATACATTTTTGATAAAAATTCGATATATTGTACAGAAATTGTATTTAAATGATCCAAATTAGTCGAACCAATTATTTTATATTATAACCTATATAAATAAAATTGGGAGAAAAAAACTTGTTTATTGGTTTTTCCTAACTATTGTGAATAAAAAATGTTTTGCTCGGTCAAAAAACTTGAATATATATTACAATGTTCCATATTGGCTGTTGTAGGTGGAAATTAAAAAAAAAATGGTTTTAAATCCACAATAATTTTATTATGAGTTTTTGAAATAAAAATTTAGAGAAAATACATAAAATTCTGGAAAATTGGCAAATTATTTCGAGTTTGATTATCATTATTTTTTTCTTTTTATATATATGATTTGAAATTTTAATTCAACATTCCCCTAAGATATTATAGTATTATTATTATTTTATTTTATTATATTTTTCCTAAGATATTAAGAGCTATTGTAATTATATTCTGATCGGATACTTTTTAATTTAGTCTTCATGTATAAAATTAATCTTTAAAATACCATATTATAAAATATAATTAAAACAAAAATATAACTCAGTCCAATTTTTAATCGGATCTATTTATTGCGTGAATACAATATTAAAATTGATAACTTCAATGATTATGTGAAATTTAAAAAATATTAATAATATACTTAAAAAATAATACATTTTATTATTTTTTAAATGTTGGGGTTTTTGGTTAATTTTTTATTAATATAGTCTTCGGAGATAGAAGTGCGATAAAAATTGCCTTTTTTTCTGTTTATTATTTTAATATTTTTCAATATTGCATATTGAACTCATTCCACACGTTTACAAGCTCTACTTTTTGATTGGGTTCAGCTGCTAGAATATCCATTAAATTTCAAAATAATTTAAACAAAATCATATAAATCAATGCTTGGATAGGTGCTTATTTAATGATACTCTAATCTCAAATAATTCGATCATGGACCAATAAATCTTACTATCCATAACATACGCAATTTTTACGATATTTTCCTAATAGCTATAATAATTTATAAATACACAACAGACATCAACCTTTTATTTTTTTTTTTAATACTTTATCATCGAATTTTCCTTCTTCTTCCGATTTATCTAGCCAATAGAACTATCCCATCTTACAACCATTTCTCCAACCATCAATATTTATTGCCAGAGTTTTCCAATTTTATCCGGCTCTATTGATCAGAAGTCCGCCTTAATGTACCGTCCAAACTCACTTTTGGTTTTACCAGGTCTTTTTCCTTTCAGATTCTGTTCCGTTACAGATTAGAGTAGTTTTACATTCTACAGTTTTAGTAATGAGTTTCGTCGGGTGATTGTAAACTCTCCCGAGTCTGAACCAGTACTACCTGATGAGACCATGTAATCTCTGCCGTGTCTACAACACTTCAGTACTACTAAGCTAGGCGAGCATAAGGCATTATTCGTATTACGCAGTTGGTACTTGGTACCGTTAAAAATCTTGGTTGAGCCATTATAGTCAATATCGTTTTAAATATTTAAATTAAAAATAGGTTGACGGTAGTAAAACATTTAAATATTTAAATTACAAATACATATTAACGGAAAGTTTACCATCTGTAGACTTTACTAGTTTTAAAAATCTGGACAGTTGACCAAGGCTCGTTGCGTCCCTCATTGCATTTCTTGTTCACCTCAATCTACCTTTATGATTATGATAGTCTCTTTAATAATAATTCTTCGTTGTACCTATACGGTCTCTAACTCTCTAATTTTGTATGTCATCCACTCTTTAATTATTACATCTTTTATTGGCCCAATAATCTTCCATAATATTTTTCTCTCTAGAATTAAGAAATTATTAGCATATGATTTCCTCAGTGTGCAAGTTTCAGACCTATACAATCTTTTTTTTGTACGAGTTTAAAATTCTTATACCATAACTATTCTAAGTTACTGTATAATAATTAGAATTTATAAATGCTAATACTTAATTTAAAATATTACCTAAACAAGAACCTAAAAAACATAATTTTTATTATTCAATCTTATCTGTTTAGAATTTACAATAAATTAAGTAAACTATTAAAATTATTCAATCATAAGCCATCAGATTATTTGTATACGTCATTACATTTATTAACAAGTAACAACTATAGGTACCTACTTATACTAATAATATTCTAAACCTATGTAGAAAAAGTGATTTATGTTATTGTTGATAATATTATTTAATTGTTACTTGACTTAAACAAAATCAAATTTCAATTTGCGAAATATATGAAATAATAACATAGAATATTGAATAATATTTTCTTACCTTCAAGTTAATTGTAGTGAGGGACAAGTGATTTTTAATAATGCAACATAAATTAATATTCTATAAGCATGGCAAAAAATATTGTTTTAACGACTTTTATAAAGAGTCGGCATAGGCAATAATCTTTCCTAAAACACGAAAGTCAAAAAAAATATTGACATTATATCTTATTCAGCCAATAACTGAGACTAAACACTCATATTTTCTAGGTATATGTTTTTATAATTTTTTTTTATCCATGAATAAATATGAAATCGATAAAATTCCTTGGATAACATTTATCTGTAACATGGAAAGATAATAATATGCATGTCCCGTCCAAATAATGCCCTATATCCCGGCACCTTCGGCTTTGGAATCCTGTCCCGTTTCATCAATAAATAATGTTTTACCCCAAATAACCTAACCTAACCGAACATAGACAAGTTTTGAATAGTACGACCAGCTGTACAGAGACGAATTAATAATTAAAGTAGGACATTTTTATATTCAATTCCTATAGTCACATGACTCACGTGTATAATAGGTTCGACAATTGAACACAAGATTCCCCTTAAGTGTTCCTACATCTAACAAGGTATGAAATATATGATTAACGTGAACACAAGTACTAGATGGGTATGTACATATCAGTATATCACCCCGTCCGAATAAGTAATTTGGGTTAAAAATTATTTTAAAAATAATAACCACATTAGTATAATACTGTCTTTTAATTTTCTAAATTCAACATTTAAGTACACCTAACTATAGTAACTAGTTAAACCTAACTAAAATGTGAGTAGGAAAGTAATAGCCTTAGCAACACAATTTAGTGCACATTCGTTATTTGAAACGTTTTTTAATAGGTATATGTAACCAGGCCGATTTCTTATGAATTAAGTTTACTCATCTGTTCATACATGCTAATAATAAAATTCTGGTAGAAACGTAGACACTATATTTGAATAGTACATTGCAGCCAGCTGTAGGGAACGAATTATTAAATAAAGAACGATACTTTTATTTTCAATTCCCAAAGTAAAATACATTTTTAATATATTATACAAGTACAACATGTTCCAAATTAGTCAAACCAAGTATTATATAATATATATTATAACCTGTATAAATAAAATTGGAAAATATAAACTTGTATAGTTGTATATTAGTTTTTTCTAATTTGTGTAGAAAAAAAATATTTTGTCCTGTCAAAAAACTTGAATATATTACAATGTTGTTTTTATAGTTGTTTTTAGTGGAAATTTAAGAAAAATTTGAGTGTGAATCCACAATAATTTATTATGAGTTTCTGAAGTTAAAATATAGACAAAATTCATCAAGTTCAGAAAAATTAGCAAATTATTTCGAGTTTGATATTCATCAATATTTTTCTTTGTATACATAAGTTTTGAAAATTGAATTTATAATATTATCAAATTGAAGAGTATATGTTGAATATTATAATATATTAATAGTATATACACTTGCTGTCATGACATAATCAGGTATCTATTTTATTTATCATACATTTTGCTGGCGTGAGATAATTATCCGTTTTGTTTTTAGCATATTAGGTACCAGCCTGCGTACCTATATGATACACATATTATACCATAATAACTTACACTCACTGCAAATTGTGTTGACCGTGAATGTTATTGCACTATAATTTTTATTCGTCAAGAAAATAAAAGTTGTTTTACCTCTTAAATGTACTTACTGTGAAATCTGCGATAAATGGTTCATCAAAAACGTACTTGTATATTTTTTTGGACGAAATAAACCAATACATCACTTCATCGCTATTATGATTTCACAATGGATTCCACTAAAAACTTCGATATCGGATTTGACAAATAATTACAAAATAGTATAAATGAACATAATAATGTTGAAAATATCAATAATATTATGGTTAAATGATTTTGTCGAAGAACTGTGTAACACCTCCACTGCCATTGCGCCAGTCGTTAATATTAAAATAAAATATTTTAATTAATTATTAAATTATAATAATTATCTAAAAAGATATCACAACGTCTACCTTTTTTTATCAAGTACCTATATTAGTGATAATATATAAGAAGTCAGAATATTATAGTTTATCGACAGTATTATGAAGTACTTTTCAAAACCGTAAAACTTGTACATTCTCGTTTTGATTTCACCCGCAACAAGATGTCTGTTGTAAACGTTTTGGTATTGTTGCTGTGCATAATCGTTATCAGTGAACGATGCGCATCTTTACACGATAAACATGATTTTTTAGACAATGTACATTCTCCAGCTGGCGCCATGAAAACTAAGGTATGTAATAAAAACTAATACACACTATATTGTGGGACAGTCATGGTAACTTAAACGTCAATAACTTGGAACTATCAACGACTCGAGTCTCAAATAAAAAAACATGTGGTCCTTAGAAGTTAGCATAACACTCGACGCATAATCTAAATTTCGTTATCTCAAAATACAAAATTAACATAACTCAACAACTCGAAATTTCACTGTCACAGATAAATTTGACATTTCAGGCCAAAGTAAATAATTTTATTTGTTTTACTCAATGCCTTTGTTTGTTGAAGTGTCTGCGTATGGTACATTACCTACGTAAATAATGACGTACACACGGACGAGGATGGGTTCGGGTGTTCTATTAATAAATCATGGCTTTCAAAAATGCTTTTTTATACCATAATAGGTATTTAAATATACTTCAATAACTTGACTATTTTTATTTATTTCGATAATTTAAACTAAATTTGTCCTCAACTCCCTTCAGGCTAAATGTACTGCGAATGTAATATATATATGCACCTATGTAATACTGGTATAAAAAAAAAATAATAATACTAATAGCTTAGTCGATATGTGACTGCTGTAGTAGCTATTATATTTCCTGAAAGTGTAAACAATTCTAACAACAGTCACGTTTAATGAACGTTTGGAAATAATATTCTATCTGTAGAACAATGGGTTTTGGGATCCTTTGGACCTGCCGAAAAGCTTCGACGCCCGGGCAAAATGGTACATGTGTCCGTCCATTGGACAGATATACGACCAAGGTAACTGCAAGTCAAGCTACGCTATTTCCGTGGCGTCAGCTGTAAGTGACCGGATCTGCATCCATTCAAATGGGACGATAAAACCAAAACTGTCGGCACAACAGATATTGTCCTGCTGCTACCTGTGCGGAGATGGCTGTTCGGGTGGCAGCCATTTTGAATCTTGGGACTTCTACAGAAGACACGGATTGGTTTCCGGGGGTGAATACGGTTCGGACGAGGTATAACAATTGTAACTTAGTAATTTTTTAGGAAACGTATTTAAGTATTACCAAACGCATGGTATTAGTAAATAGCTTATATTTTGGCATCAATAATAGGAAGATGCCATCAGTTTTTCACTGCTATTCGTCAGGTATGTATTTTTTCTTCTTGCAGGGATGTCAACCGTACACGATTGAACCGTGCCAGCATACGGAAACTGCAGTAGAAAACCCGTGCTCGAATAAAACATTTTTCACTCCAGAGTGCAAGGTTCAATGTTACAACCCCGATTATGGGACGAGATACGTGAAAGACAACCATAAAGGTGCACAATGTTTACATACAAATTATATTTTGTATACATCAATACAATTATTATTCTATATAAAACATAAAACATTCAAATTAGTTTTTGAAAATAAATTGTTGTGATACGCATTACACATCCGTGTTGACCTCTACCTCAATGCATCCAAGTGGAATGGGATTGTTTCAATTTTATCGTGACAAATTTCGAATTTTATCATAAAAGATGAACTGCCTCGAAAAGTTTTCGTGTAAAAAACTCTTCGTTATTCCAAAACTATAATTATAGCTGTCTATTATACTCGTGTACTGGTGTACTAGCTAAACTAGCTCCTGTTAAAATCTAAAAAAAACAATTTCAAATAAATAATAAAATATTGTACCTAATTAGTAAATATTATCATTTAATATTATATATGGTACGACCGTTTTCGATTGCAAGTTCACTAAGATATGGAGTGTAATTGTGTTACTCACAAGTAATCACAACTCACAACCACATGAGAGTAAAAATCAAAAATATCGCAAAATTATTGACATTTTTTAATGAGTTACGAATGTTAGTGTAATGAGACTTAGTTGTTTTGTACCTTTATTTGAATAGTAGAGTACTTACTACTTTTGTCCTTTTTTCTCACGATCAAAAACAGGAAACGGGTGGAACCTTTTTAAAACAATACTGCCACCCGGTCCCGTAACGTTTATTTACCAAAATAGTATTAATTATACATAAGAGGGCCCTCTAACCACCATGAAAAGCTAGCCATCGGCACACAGAGTAACACCACATTTACCCTATCCACCCACCTCTTGCCTACCTGTTGCGCTCTGCAGCCTCCTTCTGCCCGAGAATCGTCTCCACCATACTGCCAAACGCTAGGTCTCTGCCTTTCCGCCGACGCCGCAGTCTGCCGTCTTCTCGACATATCATCTGGGAGGAGCTCCTGCTCCGACCACAGAATGATATCAGGGACATCATCGGGTCGTAGTAGCTGACCGATGCATCCATGCCTACCCTCCGCCCAGAACGGACAATGGAACATCGTATACGTTCCACTGAGTCCTCCAGCTCCACATAGTGGTTGTATCGGGCATCAGCTGCCCCCTCTTTTTCCACAGGTAGAGCTGGAAGCATCCATGTCCCGACAGTGCTTGAGCCATGTGAAATGACATGTTTCCGAACCTCGAACCTTGAGTATACCTTTGTCCTATAGTATATTATAATACATTTTTACGTTGTATAGGAACGCAATATCGTATCCCGGGATATACAGCGATGAAAGAAATTTACGAAAACGGTCCAATAACGGCGTCATTTTACATGTATCAAGACTTTGTCAACTATCAATCGGGTATGGATGATTTTCATTTTTTGTCAGGAAATTTTAGACTTTAAGAATTAATCATTTTATTTATCATAACGATTATTATTTAAAGACATCTTCGTATTTAAAACACATGATACATGGCACAATCAGCCGGCTGAATGGGTAAACACCAAGTGTTTCCCTACACTATGCTATGGTCCATCGGATATACATGTTGATCAATAACTTTTTAACAACCATTATTTTTTTTTTTAATTGCATACAAATTCTGAGTTTTTGTTTGTTTAAGGCGTGTATGCATTCAACTCTGGAAAATACGTCACCACTCAAGCGGTGAAAATCCTAGGCTGGGGAGAAGAAAACGGCACGCCGTACTGGTTGGCAGCCAACTCGTTCAATACGTACTGGGGTGACAACGGATTCGTCAAAATTCTACGAGGCGCTAACGAATGTTATATAGAAGAATTTATGTACGCCGGATTACCGTTGTGATATAAATATCAGTTGACCGGATGCGATATTTACCTGACATTATTTTTCTTTTTGTAACAAAAAATTGCATTGTTATTTAATATAATCTAATATTATATTGTTAAATAAACATAAAATTAAAAATTAAATTTCTTATTTAAGAGTATTGTAAGCGGAGATTTGATATTTATGAATATCACAATATAAAATATAGGAATTTAGAGTGTTATATTTGATATTTCTAATTATGTTAGAAAGTTATAAGGTTACTGAAAAAATTATTGAATATTATTCCATGTTTTGATTTTCCAATTCACTTAATACTAGTTAGTATGACCTTAAAATATAAAAATGTGGATCTCAAGTAGACTTCACAAAAATTCAAATTATTTTATCAAAATCCTTGGCAGATCGTTAAAACGATTAGTAAATTCGACATAGAATAAGTCAAAATGCTAATACTACGATAACAATTTATACATAATAATATTATTATACAAATTATAGCCTTATAGATATTATTTACATTTTAATAGTTATTGTGAAATTAAAAGTATCGATGGCATGAGATTCGTGAAGTGGAAATAACTCATTGCATAACAACTAAAATACCTATACATCAATTTGTACATCGTTGATATTTTTTCTTTTCTTTTCTCAAGATGTTAAAATAAAATATTTTATTATTATTATCATTATTATTTTGTCAGGTAATACCGTATTGAACCTTGTAGTATCTTAAATTGTCGAAAATTGTACACAAATTATAAAACTAATGACTCATTTTAAAATGGCTTAATAATAATATAATAATTACTTTAGAATAAATTATTATTTATATTCATGATACCAATTGTGATACATTATATTATTGTAACTAAAAATATTTTTAATTTTCAAATTAAAATATTGTATTTCAATTTATAATAAATTGTATTCTTAAATATAAAATTAATTTTCTTAAGTTACGTTTTAAATTTTGACTTGAATTTGAATTTGAGCAACAGTATCAGCCGCAAACTTAAGTATAAATAACCTACTGAATTGTTGGTCCCGCTAAAATGTGCCATGTGTCCATGTTATATATAATACCTGGTTTAGTACAATTTTATACCATTGCATAATACAAACACGCATCTCCGTTTTTTCAACTAACCGTTAGACCCTTGTGTGAGTTAGTTGCTAAAATAGTTATAAAAAGGCCATGTTTTGAATTAAAAGGTTAATGTCAAAAATTAATTTGGGATAAAGTGCTTAACTAATTATATTTTAATATTTTCCATTAATTCCTGTCGGCTATAGACATTGTTTAGTGAACAATTTATAATATGAAAGTGGTGGACACTTTAATTAATAAAAGCTCCATGTTACAACTAATGGCAGTAAGTAACACCCAACAAGCTTGATGAATGATTAAAACAAGTCATCATTTGTTATGTCAATGTTTTATAAGTATTTTGAAAGCAGTCAGTTTTAGATATCAAATAAACTTCATTTTAAATTTTATAAAATTCAAATGTTTTGTAAAAATTATTTCAAGGCATTAAATTATTTTATAATAGCTTTAAAAATTAAAAATACATTTTTGGTACTTATACCTTATGATTTTATGAGTTATTTATTAAGATACTTAAGTGTATACACACAACGCATATTTATAGAGGCAATATTCTTGTACGAAATTGTTATGGCATGTACACACATAGTGTACAAGATAGAAAAATAAATAAATCAATATGACAATATGGATGGGCGTATAGTGAATCTCTCTCAAAGATATTTTATATCAACGTACTCTATAATAAGTAAAGAATAATAATATGCACTTAACAGTTCTATCCTCAAATGAATTTACAACTATCTTTGAATGTTGATTGTTGAATTTAAATCAATTTTCATTTATTATTCGGCTCACGTCTACTTGTTTTATTGCCCTCATTATTCTTTTTACTTTTATTTTTTATTTAGCTCTCTTTTTAAAATTATGTTTTGCCACTCACAAACAACAGTTACACAGTTACATTTCAAGGTCATAGTAATCGCACATAGTTTTAATGTACGAAAATAATATTAAATGTAATATTTGGACAACAGATAAATGTTGAGAAGATAGATTATATTATAATGGAAACTCGTTGAAGTACTTGATTTTATTTAATCACTCTGTCCTTAAACAAACATTTTTGAGTTTCAAAAAATAATGTAGGTATATGTACGTAAACAACTCTTCTTCTCTCAATACGACATTACTCTCTCACAAGTTAACGACTGTCCAAACTCAAAAACGTAATCTAAAAACCGCGATTTAAATCCGAAATTATACTCACGCGATCAGTTCTTCGAGTAAATCGACTACACACGTTACCACATAACTTTAACTAAAAGTTTTTGACAGTCAATACATTCGTGGTAACGCCAATATTAAAGGTCAGCTCGCACTTAAATGTCGACAATAGACAAAAACACATAGCGAGATTCGACGGATTCAATACGATAATTAATTAACACCCAACAACTTAATATTAAATATTATAAAGTAGGCTGCAGGTTCCCACCTAGTAACACGTCGCACACCACAATGAAAATCGTCTTGCTATTCGTATCCAGTGTTTGGGTAATGTGTGAGGCTAATAATTACAAATTGCATAACATCGTCAAACACGTCAACAGCGCAAACGTGACATGGCAGGTAAGAATATCACATAGGAGTTTACATTACACATATGATATGAAAGTTTAACGATGAAAATGATATCCTGCACATTTTTAGTTGTTCTATGAAACCAAATGTGGGTGTACGAAATCCAACAAGATTTTCCAAATTTCATACCCATGCAAATATTTTTATTTTTAATGAAAAATCGTCAAATATAGGTATTATACTAGACAACAACCATAGTATAATAGTTATATTGAAAACTCTAAAAGGTTTCGTCCAGTTTTGGGCTTAAAAACTTTACGATTAACTAGATATGTAGGTACCAAAATAGTTCTTATGTCATTCGCATAAAAAACACGATGTGTTGACAACAACAAAATTTGGAAAAATTTAGCTGACTTTAAAATTATACACTGACCGTGTGCATTCTCGTGGGTATATTAGGAGTTTAACTGCGATACCTATCGCTATTCGTTCGACATTATTTTCAAATTATGCTACTGGGCGACTACATATTCAAATACGTCGTAATTTCATTATTTCTTTCAGGCCGGAATAAACAGTTTTCATACGAACGACCACAAGAAGTTGGTGGGAACTTTTTATCATCCCGAGTGGATCGGTCTGGAGAACGATATGTCTGATGGCGGTGCAGTCAATGGTGGCGATTGTGACAACGACGGCGAATACGATGGTGGTGATGCAAACGAAACACCCGAAAGTTTCGATGCCCGTTACCATTGGTTCGATTGCATTTCCATCTCACACATCTGGAATCAAGGCAACTGTGCAGCCGATTGGGTAGGTAACAAAAACTCGTTCATCTATATCGATATAAGTATACTCTACGTAGATAGGTGTTCACGGAAACGGCACAACGTGGTGGGTGGAAATTTCAAGTGGGTAATAATTTGTGGTGGCATTTTGATCATAGATAGATAAGGACATATTATTATTATAATACCTATCGCGCTGGGTGCCGAAATACCTAAAGCCTAAGGCCCTAGATGTGAATGATATCGTCTTAGAGATCGTCTATATATAGATGGTACTATATGACTACCAACTAGTATAAACCCAATACTTTCCAGTTCTTTGAACTTATTGTTACCGGAGATTTTCTGTTCTGACAAATTGTTTCCCATAGATCTCCGAAAAATTAATTTCATTCGAAATGTAGGTACCCGCTCGTCTTACTACCACTGAGATCTGACGAGATACAATTTGTGATTTGCCATTTGCCACCGTGGAAACAACACTCTCGTGGATTTATCAAAATATACCCACCCTTTTTATACGCAGGAACTGTACCACGAATCATTATTTAGGTTATGATATGGATTATAACTCAGTCGCGATCACTCGAACTTACTCAAATGAATAATATCTGATATCACAAATCTGAATATCTGAAAACATACACTCGATAATAATGTATAATATTTCAAGTATTTCTAAAAAAAAAATTTTTTAAATAAGCAACATTCCGAAACAAAAAATATCATAGACAGGTACAAGTACCAATTAAAGATAAATTGTATATGAGGCATCTAACTGCTACATAATAATAATATAATAAAGTATATAGTTAATTCAACTTATATTGTTATCAGTTATATACTAGGCGTATATTATTTTTTTCCATTTGATATAAAATAAATTATAAAATAAACTTTACACTTAATAAAAAGGTACCTAATTAAAGATAAACAGCAAATATGATTATTACACAGAACATATTGTCCACATTCGTAGCTTGTAAATTAATTTACTATACATTTATTGGAATATCTTACAAAATTTTAAATTATTAACTAGAATTTATAAGAGTAATATATTGACTGTCTAAATCTGGTTGTATTTAAAAGTCTAATATTTTTAATGGTTCTAATACGTATTGAATTATGAATTCATTAATCATTTTTCGAGTTTTTCGACTGAGCCAACAATTTTTTATCGAAAGTCATTTTAAAAAAAACTTATAAAAATAAGAAATTTCTTATGTCTATAAATAGCTCAAAAAGAGTCAAAATATTTTTTAAATGTTGAGGAGTATAAGAAATGTTTTTATAAACAGTCGGTGATAATTTCAAATATCTACGATTATTTTTTTTTAGAAATACACCAATAACCAATGTTTTGTCAAAAACTGGCTCAAAAAAAGTTGGCAAAAATTAGCATTTTTGAATGGAAATCACGCGTATAACACCAAATAACGCCGTAGTTACCTTCTGTATTATTCGAAGTTATACACAATTTCCTTTCAAAAATGCTAGTTTACTTTTTTTAATTGAATGAAAATAATTTGTACCTACTTGCATTTCTGGTTTGATTGTGTCTGTTAGTTAATAGGCGATAGCACAATAAAATAGCTTTAAAATAAAATAAAATTAAGATAATAAGTTGAAAAGTTCTAGGGCACATCAGCAAATGTGCGGTAAGTTCGATTTTGTTTAAAAAAATTGAATCGCCCATGACCAAAAACTAAAATATTACAAAACCTATTTATAGAAGTTTTTTCATACCTATACCATTGCATGTATGACCCCGGTCGTTCACTTCTTCCCAGAACACATTGTATAATATACTATATAATTATAGTAAGATAATACTAATTATAGTAGGTATTTCGGACTTCAGTATTTGTTTTCTGAACGACAAACTTTATATTCCTTAGGACATATTTTAATTGTTTTCACCGCAAACCAATAAGTAGTGTCACACCATCACGGTTAACGGTAATGAATAGCAAATTCAATATTGAGAATACGTAATTGACAGTGATTTAACCTCACCACTTAACCACTATATTAGGTAGGTACAATATTTAAATTTAATTTGTAAAAACTCTTATCCATTCAGGCGATTTCTGTGACTTCGGCGATGAACGATCGCATATGTATCGCATCCAATGGTAGCATTACTGCCCTTTATTCGCCACAAAAACTAGTTTCCTGTTGCGAAGACTGTGGTAACGGATGCAGCGGAGGATATACTGCAGCCGCTTGGAGATATATACTAAAAAAAGGAATCGTTACTGGTGGCGACTACGGAAGTAACGAGGTAAGTATACTAAATACTTATAAGCTTATTATAATATAATATTTATATCTGTTAGACGCGCAAATTAATTCTTCGTTTGTAACGATTTTGGAACCTGCAGTTTATTTAGAATTCACTAATAAAATTTCCTAGGTGAAACCTAATATTTGAAATAATAAAGTTGGGATTTTGGTATATTTTCTCCCCCCCCCTCCTACAATAGTATTGAATAGCTGATGCAGAAGTCTACTCATGGGCTTCCTGCTCCATAGTTCGCTGCCGAGACCTTGGTGTGCCCAGATCAGCGGTGGTGGACAATGGACAAGAGAGGAGAAAGAAGAGCAAGTGCAGATGAGCAGAAGCAGATTTCTAAATCGACTATTAAATACTACTCTCCCTTCACTCTTTAACAAAATAGTGGTGTATAAAAACACTGACCATTAAAAATATTCATAATTTTAAGACATGGAAATTCAAAAAGTAGCAGCTTTTGAGACGAGGAAAGTCTCTCATAAATTTTGTAATAAATAATATTTATTAGTTTATCGGTATTTTTTTAATAAGTACATTTTAGCAAATATTTTTAAATCATTTGTTAAATGATATTCTACTACTTAAGCTAAAAAGCATATTAAAATCATGGGTACCTATTATTTTATGGTAAGGCACTAAGGCCGTAAGGGATACATTTGATTAAATGGCACTCGTCAAAAATCAAAACAATGTTTTGAACCAGGACCGCCTACAGCGGTCATAATATGATGACTAATAATCATACAAAATGTCTCCTTATCTTCACTAAAATATTAATATAGGGCTGTCAACCATGGCTCGTGCAGCCATGCAACGCATCCACGACGGCCGCCGATCCAAGTTCAGTACTCGGTCCCCACGGCATGTGCGGTGGCGGTCCGACGACCACTCCGAAATGCGATCTGAGCTGTTACAACCCACGGCACAAGGGCAAATACTTAAACGAAATCATCAAAGGTTCGAGAGACGATTAGATAAGATAATTATCGCGCATATTATTTACTATAATGTACAATTGTGCATATTTTGTTGTTCGAGACAGCCAAGAAAGTTTTTACGTTCGACGGGTGTTCAGCGAGGAAAAACCTGAGAAAACACGGTCCATACGTAGTCACGATGCGAGTTTACGAAGATTTTCTAGCTTACAAATCTGGTATAAATTGAAAATGAAATACTACAATAGTGAATATAATATACCTATAGGTATATTATATTAAGCGCGTATTACGTAATGTACTTACAACCTAATGTATTACAACTTTTAATAGTGAAGATGTATAGTATAGGTACCTATTTATTACCAATATTACTATTTAGGTATACAAATATAATATTTTCTTATGTTTCAATATTTCGTTTACAGCTCACATTTTACATTCTAACTCGGTTAAAAAAATAATGTACCTATGGCTAGGTACCATTTAGGCATCTACCTACCTGGGTATATATGATTAGGCAGATTTCAGAATCCAGGTAAGTTCTGCAATTCTGCATACTATAATATCCCCAATGGCTGAAAACCTAATGATTTTATTATTTATTCCCAACCCTGCAGTCGGCGGGTAGGTATCTAAAGAGTGCCTAAAGAGTAGGTACTTACCTAATAAGTACCTAGTGAGTAATGAGTAATAACTAACTACCAATAGGCAATAATTAAATCAGGAAGGTACCTAATACGCAATAATTATACCAAGTAGGTACCTAATAGCCAATAGGGTATATTAGGTTGTAAGTATTATTAGAATGTTAGGAGGTTAATCTAGTTTTATTTTTAAAACAGGTGTTTATCATCATGTCACCGGTGATTATTTGGGGCTGTTGTCAGTTCGGATGATCGGATGGGGTTTGGAAGGAGGACAAGCGTACTGGTTGTTAGCTAATTCATGGGGAACTTCTTGGGGTGACAAAGGATTTTTTAAAATAAGACGCTTCGTAAACGAATGTTGGATTGAGAATTTCAGATACGCCGGATTACCAAAATTGTGATGTACCTTCCTCGTTAATTAAATTAAATAAGTATTATAATAGTTAGCTACTGGCTAATAATACTGAAACACTGAATATGTCATCTATTAACCTAATAAATAATGATTTACCGACACTCAATATATTTTTTAGGTGAATACACAATACCTACGTAACAATGAAATACAGGACATTTTTAATGCTTTTTTTTTTAAATTATTATTATTACAATACATTAGAAATACATTAGAAAACCTAATAAATATAGAATGTCATAAACGCCTATTAATAGAAGTAACATTCCTGATTATTAAATACCTAGGTAGGTACCTATATGCAAATGTAATGAACATTATAATTATAAACGACAGAAGTATCTTTTTTGTCAATTGTACTTAAAATCTACTGTTCTCCATAATATAATTCTGTTGTACACCTGATTAATTAATAATTATATGTAACTAAAAATTTGTTGATCCTTCAGCTGCCTAGAAATTGCAATTCAGAGCTTTTGACTACATAATTTTGAAATATTAATATATTATGTTTCTTTATAAATACAGATAAGAAATTTTTTTTTTATTGAAATTTTGCTATGAAATACCTTTTCAAAAAAAAAAAAAAAATATTATTTCAATTCCAACTCACCAAGTGAATAACAAGTCCATTGCAAGGTAATTTGCATTACTCTTATAAAAAAATGTATATGTAAAGTTTGATGTTAATTTGAATAACTTAATAGGTACAAAAATAATAATTGTAATAGCAATTTATTTATCTTGATTCTTTAGTTTTGATATATTATTTCCAAATACTAAATAAAAGCATTGTATAATTAAACCACTTTGGTATTTATTATAATAATGAACATTATTTAAATTACTTCATATTTTATATTGTCAGATGACAGATAGCGCTGAATACATAATATTATAAAACAAAAAAATGTATGTACATTGACAAAGTAATAATAATAATATCAGTGACAAATAAAAGCAATTAAAATTATTATATTTAAATAATAATATAGAGGTGATACTAGTATATTTTTATACCACATGAGTAAAAAATTATTGCACCCCATTTAACAATACCTATATAAAAATTAACTTATCATTAGTTTTAATACCTGTTAAGTCAGTAATTACACTGCAAAATTATGAAAATATAGATACTATGTTTAAGAGATATACAACTGAAGTAGTATTCTCATTTTAACTGTATTGTAAGCTATGTTTACGGTTAACTAATATTGTAATGTATTTAGAGTAAAAAATATATAAGTACAAGTATTCACATTATATAATGTATTGTAATGATTTCAGTAATGTGTTGGTTAATTATTATTGTGAAAATTTAATATTACGCTGTTAAATTCAAATTAAATATTATGAGTATATTTTTTGGAACCACTACAGCGAGACATTGCAAGTATCTAAGTTCAAAATTATCTACATTGATTGTTGTAGATACCTACTGGCATTATTGCATTAATATTATTAACTTGAAGTTCGTGTTATTTTTGTATGATGTACAGAAACTTCAAAAACAATCTAGTACCGCTAATAGACTACTTCCTCCAGTTGTTTGTTTTCGGGAGGTTAATAACAAAAAATTAAACTGATACGGCACATTGTTTATCATATAACCTATATTATGAGTGTTAAAACAATAAATGTCAAGAAAAAATTTGAAACTGCAGAAGAAAAAAAGCATACTTAACATTAAATATGAATAAACCTTATTCTATGGTGTGAATTTATGTTTGGTTATTCAGCAGTACAAGGTAGAGCAAGCTAACCATTTTTTTAACTCCTTTAGTTCAGTTAATATAGAAAAATTTAATTTAAATTTAAATTTAAAAGTTACTTTTCTTTTTTTAAAACTTAAGTTACAACTTAACTAGAAAATAAATAAAACTTGAGTTGATTAAAAATCAGTTACTTTTTTATCATATAGGTACAATTAAAAATTAGACCTTTTTTTAAAGCTCACAAATAATGAAGTAATTTAATAGAGGTCTTATGATTTTAAATAAGGTCCATAACTATACTAAATTATAATTACCAAATTAATTATTAGAATATATATAACTATATTTAGTCAATTATCAACACTTATTATAATATCAAATATTATTCAATTCGGTTGTAATTCTATCTTCTATGAATTAATAAAAATATAATGAGTAATAATATAGCTGTTAATAATTTATCATATACATTAATGAGTATACAAATGTATATGGGAATATGGGATACTGAGTAAATAGTTATATTTCTCTTTTCTCTCACCCCTATCATTTTTCTGTTTATAATATAGTATAACATTCTCTGTGAAAATGCAATAATAAATACCATAATTATAAATTATTATTTATTACTTATTATATTATTTATAAATAATATTTGATACTTCCAATTATTATAATTTTTTTTTTTATAAAATTAACTTTTACAAAATGAACTATATTATAAATCTGTGGCTTTAGGAAAAATTAAATAACGTGACAATAATTTAACTGACACATAAGTTTACTTTGAAAAAAAAGTATGTAAATTATGTAACTTGGTTAAAAAAACTTTAAGTTTTTAACTCGTTAATGCACAGTTTTACAAATAGAGTATTTAACCATTCAAATGATTATAAAATATTGTATACTTATATTAAGTACAAATTTCAAACAAACATAGTACACCAAACACCATTACGGTGACCATGACATTGAAGTACACTGGCATCAATTTAATAACAGAGATACTTTCCCCTGTTTTGCTTAAAGATAAATAATGGCATATCGGTAACTGGCATTGGTTTTTTACAAGATTTTATAGATACACAAGTGAGATTTGGAAAATCCAAATTATTTTCCCATTTGTATTATTTATAAGTTATAACCGTAGTTATAAACTTATACAATAACCAGACATTTCAATTGTGCAAATCAACCAGAAATTGTAAAAAAAAAATATATATATTATACAGAGTAGATATTAAATATTTTCACTTTAGAATATTATTTACATTTTATTTTTAATATATTACAATAATTTATACTTACTTTGTTTAATATATTTTATACACATTTGATTATCTACAAAAGGAATTTTTTAAATCATCATATAAAAAAATAATAACAACAGGTGTTTATTTGTTCTTCAATTGACTGCATATCCACTCCAGACCTTGATACAATCTGCAAGATAAATAGTATCAACATTTTTTTTTCAAAGTTATACTACAATTATCAACACAATCACCTACCCTTCACCAGTCAATGCACAACAAGCTTGGATATGCCACTGTTGTTTCTTAATGGAAGTCAGGTTTAAATGTTTACTGATCTCTGCAGCGGTTAATGCACCTTTCATGTCTTGTTTGTTGGCATAAACAAGAACGGCAGCTGAAGATAGTTCTTCATTGTTCAACACCTTATAAAGTTCTTCACGACTCAAATCCAGACGACTGCGATCTGTTGAGTCGATGACCACAATGACAAACTGAAACACACATACAAGCAATAAATTAAAAATTTCAACACAGTTGATATAAATGTACGAGTATTTTATCTCGATATTTTCCATAAATAAATCATAGACGTATCATAAGCAATTTAGATTTTCATGTCATAAAATACATTTATCATACACCCTAAAACATGCTGACTGGTAGAAATTGCTTCAATTTTACCTTTTATTACAAATAGTGCGAGTTAACATGTAATTATTAGGCTACTTAATATAAAAACATTAATGCATAGGTTCCTACTGAATTCTAATTTAAATATAAAATATTATGTAGTAAGGAATAGGTACAAGTTTTTTTTCGACACTTCCTGAATTGAATATAAAATAAATGAAGGTCAAATGCTTAGCTTCTAAACATTAATTTAATCACTCTTGATCCCTTATTCATTATTTATAAAATATATGTATGGCCAAATATAATTGGTAATCAGTATTTAATCACACATCATTTATTAATTGATTAAATATAACAATTATTAAATAATACTTAGAACAACCACACATAAACAAAAAATGTCATCCACTACTAGCCAGGATATTGTGATGTTGCATATTATGTTAACAATACATAACACAATATATTCCAGCCAGCAACCAAACATAGTGGATACCAATTTTCCTATATGATTATATTTCCTTATTGACTATTTAGAAAATGATAAATAATTGTACAAACATTTATTTTACCAAATTTGAAATATCTATGAATAATAATATAGCTAAAATACATATTTTATTAAAATTGATTACAGTACCTACCAAACGGCAAACCTTAAATGATTTTATTTTTACAAAAGCTTTTTTGATGTAGGTACTTTAGTAAGTAGTTAAGTACTAAGTATACAGGTACTAAAAATAAGTCCAGAAATTTCAGTTATTTTCTAACACAAGTGTAGGTAGCATTAGGATTAAGCATAATAAATAAATATTAAAATAGAATAACACAAATATTTGCAATTTCAGGTTTTATTTCATTCCCATGAAACTATATTCTTAGTTTAGTAAATAAAACTGAAATGTCTATAGGTAACTACTCTTCATAATCTTGCTGAGCTAAACACTTCACATCTTTTTTTAGAAAGGTTCTATTAATGAATAGATTTCTTTAATACCTATTTCAGCAAAACTACTTTACTTTATGGGAAACATGATTATGGTTTTGTAATTACAATGGAAATTTAATATTATGAACACCTATTCAAATATTTAAGTACATATTATTAAAATGATTTCAAGATTGAAAATGGAGTTTGCGGATTAATGCATACCTCAGTGTTGCAGTAGTAGGTGGACCAAGCGGCTCTAAGGGACTGCTGTCCACCCAGATCCCACATTATGAAATGTATGTTATTCCATATCACTTCTTCAACGTTTGAGCCAATAGTCGGTGAAGTATGTACGACTTCGTTCATTAGGAACTGATACAATATGGTAGTTTTGCCCGCATTGTCCAGGCCAATTATGACGATTTTGTGCTCTGCAACAACACAGAACCATACAATTATGAAAGCAGAAATGACACATGAATCAACCGCCATGTGGCAGCAGCATTTAAAAACAAACATTTACCTTCGGTGCCGAAGTAACTCCATATTTTTGAAAACAGGAGGCCCATGGTAACCGTGTGCAAGACGAATTGATGGGGGTGCTGCGAACAAAACGTCACAAGCGCGAAAAATTAATAAAAATCAGACACGCATTGACAACATGGGGCTGCCGATTGAGACATACTACATTAGACAACTGCTGGACTACATGGACAGAGTACAGAGGCAATCAAAGTACGCCTCGATTTCGGAACTGTTCCCACGCTGTACTATATAAGCCACACATCGCTCTACTTCGGTGATAAGCAGATTATGTACAATGGTACCTACCTAGACACTCACCGATCTCCGGCCGCAGACCACAGAAGGTACGTGTTTTGGAGAACTGTTGAACTCGCCTCGACGTTCGGGTCCACAACGAAAACTCGCAAACGACGATACAGCGCGTGCTACGATTTCACTGCACTGGTGAGAGCGAAACGACAACTGTCACTGCTGTGAATGATTGTAATATTTGAAATAATATTATTATCCGACGTCGTGTACTCGCTGACGGAATACGCACACGCACGGCGGTCGCGTAAAATATCGTACCGCAGCGGGTGTCGGATTTCAGCTGGTCGCGACGCACGTTCGGCACCTCCAAGGTACGGAGGTCATAGCTGCCGCTGCTGTTGCTTCTGCCGCCGTCGGTGCCGCCGCAGCACTAATTTTCACGGCCGTCGTTTGGGCTGCAGGCGGTGCAGTGCGCGACCACATCTATATGACGTTAATAATAATTAATAATAATGAGAATTGAGTAAGCGAACGACCGACCGACCGACAGACTGAGTACTGACCGACTGACCGACTGAGACTGACGGATGAGAGCGAACTGCCGGACAACACTAACAAACGGCAGGACGGCAGGGGCATACGGCACGACTGGACGCCCGGACGCGATCGCGGTGACGCGTTTTCACACTTTCACACGACAGTAGGGAAAATACAATAGGTACCTATTGCAACAATTATTATATTTTATTATTTAAGGCTGCGACATGTTAATTGTTAATAATAATTAATAATATGCATCAATAACAACAACAACAATAACAACACGGAACACACATTCGCGGTTTATACCAACATACCACTAAAGTTAGGAAACAGGTCGCGAAGCCTACAGTGATAACCTTTGCACGCCACTGCACGGATTCAGCTGCTGCTGCAGCAAACGCGCCTGTACGCCACTGTGCGTGGTTAATCGCTGGTGTTTGGAACTTAGAAGTGAAAGTTGTGTTGGTGGGGCGATTAATGGGAGCATAGTACAGAAAGACTATTAATTCTTTGTTCGACTACGTGCGTTATCGCTACGGCCTCCTACCAGCCTGCTCGTCTTCCACATCTAAATAGATAACAGTATAAATTTATTATTACCTTCTTATCTATCTCAATTTACTACCACTGATAACGTGCGTGGTGCAATCGCGCTAATTTTGATGCACAGAATAGATCAAATCAGACGTAATAAAATATATTATACAATTATATAAGTATACCTCATTCATTTATATTGATTACTTTAGTTCCTAGGTTTCTACTTGCTAATAGGTATTAGGTACCTATTATATAGTTATTACTTGTAATATTATTCTTTATTCTCATACAAGTGTTCAAGTGTTAATAGTTATGTAGGTAGGTGCTCAATATCAATTATTAGGTATAGGAATATAGTAGGTAGGTAGCTGTTATATTTATTGTTGGATGAAAAATAAAATATTATTTTTGTTACTACCTAGGTAGTCACCAAGACAATAACTTGGTACATAATACGTCACTTCCTGCACGTGTTCCTTTGCTTATTAGATAGGTTGTTATAATTATAACAGGGTACTAAGTAGGCACATTATAGTACAAATAGTACAAAATATGCACAATACGATTATTAATAAATATAGGTAGGTGGATGTTACATAATTTTTTTTTTATAAATACCAACTATTAAAATAGTTAGTATACTGTTACTTGATAGTAGCCAATAAGTATCTACCAACTAGTGGTAGCAGTGGATTTTAGGTCACCCTTTGATTTTTTTAATATGCGAATGGATATATAAAATGAATACAATTCAAAAAACATTTAGATATACTTATTGTATAACTTGTTAATGTAACCCCTCCCATTCAAAATATCTGTGTGACTGTATACGCCAATGAGTGGTAAACTGTTATATTATGTACTGCGATTTACAACGGATTTGTGTTACATAATACCAGCTATCGTGCACCTATTTGTATTCTTACTTTTCAGCTAATATTATGTATACCCTGAGAAAAATTCAACATACTTATAATATATTATTTATTTTCATATAATGACTATAATTTTCAATTACAGGGAAAATGTATAACAAAATATATAACCACTCTGATATGTACAGTATATTGTATATACAGCATATAGGTAGATGTCCAGCGTATAAGTACCTCATTATTGAGTAAGTGACTGTAATAAACGTATTAAACTAGAATTCAATGATTATAAATTATTGTACATTATGAATACAATGAAAAATGATTCTGAATGGAGATGGTTTAACTTTTGGGTAACCTTGGTTACTAAAGATTGATATAGGTAATAATAGGTACCTACAATTTTTTTTTAATTTTTACTTTCTACCTACTAACGTTATAAATTAGATACAACTTGCTAGATACGAGATATCAGAAATACATCTCTCGAAGTTGGTGATCGGAGGATTTTTCCCTACAAGAAAGTACTTTCAGACAAAAAAGAACTAGCTTCATAATAAGATCAATACATTCACATCATTTCTCTACATATTAAACCCATATTTTTTTTATAATTATTAAACCAAAAAAATCAAGGAAGAGTAAATTATCCTTACTAAAATTATTCTACTGTACACCCCTCGATAATATCCTGCTCATGACACATGCTACATGCCTATTTAGATATAATTTGATTTGTTTGATAAGTTGTTTCCTACTACGTTCGAGGGACTAAGTTAGACACTGGTTTCAATTTCATTTAGAATTTAGTAGTTTAATCGTAGTTGTATAGTAGTTATTAGATATATTATAAATTATAATTATATAATAACAAGTTACACACCAAAGAAAATTATTTATTTATTTATGGACTTATAGCCTGAATATGACCTGAAAACTAATAATAGGTGGACATATACTTAAATTGTGACCTATATTTACCAAATGGCTACTGCTGTTGTTGTATATCCTACTAAACAGACGACTGTGAACAGTTCCATACGTACATGATAATAATTAATAATTACTAATTAGTATATACTATATATTTATACTGTATAATTCATAATATTATAAAAGACACTTTATAATTATTCAGTTTTACACGTTATGTACACCATATTTTGTATTTTATCATTTAACAAATTACATAATAAATAATTATAACACCAACGATATTATATAAAAACAATATAAAGGTTGATTCATCAAGCATATTCACAGCTCATCTCCTTTTTCACTGTAATTATACATTTATTCAAATTCTGATTTTTAAAATTGTCCTTTATTAGACCAATGATCAAATTTACATACCTACACTTAGATTTATTCACAAAATTTAAGGAGTATCCTATGTCCTATGGCAATACAAACGTCTTTCTTTATCAAATAAAAATCGATCTTTTTTACATTAAATTTTTAGATAGCAAATCGCCGGAACCCCCTCAATCTTCATCTAAAACCTCTCCTCCTGAACGTTCCCAGGTGACCCTGGCCCGCGTTTAAAGAGTAGCTGATGCCGGGTAATAGGAAAAAAAGGCAATTGAAAAAAAAGCAACGGAAAAAAAAGCAGTAAAAAAAAAGCAAACGGAAAAAAAAACAAATGAAAAAAAAGCAAACGGAAAAAAAAGCATTTGAAAAAAAAGCTAAAGGAAAAAAAAGCAAACGACGCACATTTTTGTTTTTTTTTTTAAAAAGAATTTTAATAACTCAAGATAATTACAATATTTTACTTAATCAGTGAGAAGTGTAAAATATATACGTGGTTTTTTTGTAGCTTAGCCCTTTCCTCCTTTTCCCTATCTTCTCCCCCATTAAAAGGTTTTATATTATTTATTAATTATTTTTTTTAACCATTACTTAATATGTTATGTATAGCAAACCATTTTAAGGAGAGAAGCAAAAAATGTTCCTCCTTTAAGTATAATAATATGTAATAGTTGCCTATTTACATACAATTTAGTTAAAAGCTTGGATGTGATTTATTATGATTGTGGCGGTCCAGTTTGACTTAATATGTAATATGTAGGTACTACGGACGCTCGTCGAAGCTCGTGCCGCTTTCCCCGACAAATGATTAGAAACAACGTGGCACTTGGTCACTAAATAAGTGATTATTTGATATTATATACCTCCTATATGACTCGTCACATCGTAAAGGACAACAATTGACAAATGATACGACTATAATAAAAATGTCAAAATCATATTTCAAACTTATCTTATAATGATTCAAAGACAGATAATGAGATAGGTAGGTATTTAGGTTTTCAGGTTTTCGATAATTGATAAAATATCAACAGTAATATTATATTGGTATTTTTGCAATAATATGTTAGTACGTTGTTATGCTGTGTTCTCGAATGTTCTATTATTTTACCAGCAACAATGGAAATAATTAAATCTAACAAAAAAAATGACAAAGTTTGTCTTGATGGTCATATGTACACATTATACTACGAAACTAGTAAAACAATTAAATGGCGATGTTCTAAAAAGTCTTCATTAAAGTGTCCAGCAGTTTTAAGTACGGATAAACAAATAACCGAATATGAAAAAATTCATCGTCATAATCATTTACCAAATCGCAAGGAAGTTATGGTAACCAAAGCGTTGATGAATATGAAAGAAAAATCATGTAAGTACATATATAAATATTATATTATATTATATTATATAGATAATATATAATATATACCTAGTATGTTAATTAATTGGATAGTCATAACATGTCATAACTCATTAGTAGTGTTTCCAATTGCATTAGTATTTTTTTCTATGAATGTCGATAAAACTTTTTTTGTCGGGTAAAAAAGCTTGAAAATTTAATACAAGGTTCCTACTAAATTGTTACTATGACATTTGAAAAATATTCAAGATCTTTGTCACAGTTTTTATTTATAAGTATTTAAAGTTCAAATTTTGACAAAATACGGAAAAATCACGAAAATGAGCAAATTATATTGAGTTGAGAATAAAAAAGCTAGTCAATAGTTTTTTTTTACATTTTTCTGGAAATGTTAACAATATTCTACATATTTAAAATTATTTTGCCTAATATTCATGAGCGTTTATAAGTTCAAATAATAATATTATGTAGATTGTAAACATAAAATATTTTTTTTATAAATACATACAGCCACAACAACTACAAATCTTGTTGAAATATTTGCCAATGGTGTATCAAAATTGGATAAATCAGCAAAGGCTCAAATGCCATCTGAGGATACAGTCAAGAGAACTTTACGTAACCACCGGTCAAAAGGAAATCCAATCGATCCAAAAAGCTTAGAAGACTGTATAATACCACGTAAGTAGTTATTATAATATGATAGTTAAGATTATTTTTAGTATTTTAAATCATTTTGATAGCCACCTGGACGATAAATTCTGATGGACATCGTTTTTTATTGTATGACAATGGAATCGTTGACGAAAATGGCAAATGTAATGCTGATGAAAGAATTGTCATATTTGCAACCGATGAAGTATTATTAAATCTTGCTAAGTCTTCAACTTGGATGATGGATGGAAATTTTGCTCTAGCCCCAGTGATTTTTCAACAACTTTATGTTATAAGAGTAAAGGTAAATATTTATATTATAGTATTATAATATTTTTATAATATTCAATTTAAATTTAAATTCAAGCCTGGATTAAAAAAAAAAAAAAAAAAAAAAACAAAATTGTTGGAAAACATAGTTAGTTCATTATCTATAGTAATTTTTCGTGGTATAAGATTGAGAATAATTTTGTATTATATATTTTGGGGATAAAGATAAGCCCCAAAATCAATGGGCCCTGGGACAGTGCCCCCTTGCCCCCCCCCCTTAATCCGGGCTTGTTTTAATTTAAATATTTATAGAAACTATAGTACTTCAAAACATTGTTTATAAAGTAAATCCTCAATCGACAGTCACACATAAAATATTTAATATAAACCAATTTAATATAAACATATTTTTACAAAATAGAATATATTAATATGTTAAGCTTGTAGTGTTATAGTGGTACTTATTATTAGGTACTTAAATT